TCCCAGCCTTTAAGTTTGGCTTTCCACATAGTCCCAGAGCATAAACCTAATGTAGTCAAATTCTTGCTGTGGAGTTATGTGGGTGTTTTCTGATCAAATTCATTCAGAGTTCCCAGTTCCACCTGAAATCTCACATTTCTCTCAGCATTCTGGTCTTATGAGTTCCTAACAGAACCACCTGTGAAGCTCCACTCATCATTCTAGGCTCTCTCTCACCCAGAGATTTCTAAATTCTTCCTAAAAACAACTTCAAAGCTTTGTCCACATTGTCTCAGGTAGTACTACAAAAATGAATACAATTCTCAGTGCCAGTTTTCTGTGTTAGCTTTCCAACACTGTTACACACATAAAGAGGAAAGGTTTATTTGGGGTGTCTGTTTTTGAGGTTTTTACACCATTTGGTTGGCTCCATTGCTTTTGGGCCCTGGCCACAGGGAGCACATCAATGTAGCAGCATATTTACCTTATGGCACGAATGTAAACAACAGAAGGGGTGAAAGCTCCAAGTCCCCTTCAAGGACACACCTTTAACAACCTAAAGCCTCTCACGAGGCTCCACTCCCAGAGCCTTCACAATTTCCCAACAGTACCACACAGGGAGCCTAAAATTTTATGGCAACAAGTTACGGTGATTTTATTACTTTTTTTTTTTGTCCTGGGGCTTGAACTTAGGGCCTGGGTAATGTCCCTAAGATTCTTTTGCTCAAGGTGAACACTCTACCACTTGAGTCACAGCTGTACTTCCAGCTGCTTTGGTGGTTAATTGGAGATCAGAGTCTCATGGAACTTCTTGTACCAGCTGGCTTCAAACATCAATCCTTAGATTTCAGCCTCTTGAGTAGCTAGGATTACAGATGTGAGCCACCAGTGCCTGCTATGTTCCATAAAGTTTAATCTCAAATACCTACACAGCAGCTAGGTAATGCACCCAAGCATTTATGTAAACATCAAAATCCTACATTCAAGCTAGGAAAGTACTTCAGTGGGAAAGCAAGTGCAAAGCAAGCCCAAGACTTATCCTCTGCCCTCCCTTCCACCCCCACCCCCTAAACAACAACAACAAAATCTTACATGCAGGAACTCCCCTAAATTTCCAGGTGGAAACTGGAAAATCAGAGGAATTATCTTGCCAAAGCTTAGCTAGTACGTGTCAGAACCAGAACTGGAATCCAGGAGTTTTATTATATAGATTCTATTCCCCTATGCATTTATTGATGCTTTAGTTCATTGTTTTCTGGATTTAGGGTGCTATTATATTGATGAGCATGAGGAATCAACTTTCACCATAGAGCATGGCAATAAGAGATTAGGAAGTCAATCTTCTCAGTTCAGTGATCTCAAGGCATATAAAGGTTACATGACCATCTAAGGACGCGCCACCATTTTATGACACATCTGCATCACTTGACTCCTTGCTCAAAGCAGCTTTCATTATGACTGTATTAGTGTAGCGAGTGGAAAACAAACCAAAAACATACAAAATTGTAACCCCAAAATTAGATACAGTACTCTTGAATATAGAAGTAACACCAAAATTATCATGCAATTATTGAAATGAATACAGAAGTACTTTATCTGCGAGATCCAGGTAAAAAGAAACAAGATTATTATTATTATTATTATATTATTATTATTATTTTGGTCCAGTGGTGGGGCCTGAACTCTGGGCCTGGGCACTGACTCTCAGCTCAAGGCTAGCGCTCCACCACTTGAGCCACAGCACCACTTCCGGCTTTTTTCTTTTTGCTTATGTGGTGCTGAGGAATCAAACCCAGGGCCTCATGCATGCAAGGCAAGCGCTCTACCACTGAGCTACCTTCCCATCCCCAAGATTATTATTTTTTTAACTTTGAATTTACAGTTAATTATAAATAATGGTTACTACTCATAGCACTGCTTCAAAATGTTGCTTTAGGAAAAAGGAAATTAGAAAGGAAAATAATTTACATATTGTGAGAAAAGAGAGACCTAGTTAGAAAAAAAGCCACTACTAAGACCATCTGTTTTTAATATTTTCTGAGTGTAGTTACAATCCAGAGAAATACTACATACCATACCAGGATTGGTAAGCACAATCACTTGGGACAGTCTCTAATACAAATAATTACCAACTAGAATAAGGTGGCTTTCAATCCTGAAGACTTATTTACTTAAACTACACTAGTTTGAGGAAGGGAATTTCCAGAGTTGGTTAAGCAGAAAAACATTATCCTTCCCTACCATTTGCAGCAGTCAGCTTAAGATCTAAGCAAGCCAGGTGGCTTAATGCCTTTAATCCTATCTACTGAGGGGGCTGAGATTTGAGGATTGCAATTCAAAGCCTTCAGGGACAAGAAAGTCCAAGTGACCCTTATCTCCAATTAATCACCAGAAACCGGGAAGTGGCTCAGGGCTCCAAGTGGTAGAGCAGAGCACTAGCCTTGAGCAAAACAGCTCTGGAACGGGCACCCAGACCCTGAATTCAGGCCCTACAACTGACAAATTAAAAATTAAAAAAAATTTAAACAGTAGGGTCCCAGGTAACAATAATATCTAAAATATGACAATTATTTCTTATTCCCAGCTGTTTTTCCACCCAGACAATTCTTTTTACTATGGAGAAATGTTTTAAGCAGCTTCAGACTTCCTCCTCCACTTCCCAGATAGCAAAATTAAGTAGAGTCCTACTTTGACAATAGGAGGTGGTGTTGAGATCATCACTGACGTAAACAATTATTAATCTCCTGGGACTGAAAGAGCCCAATCTCCACTAAGTTTGTGGCTCTGTGGAGTTTTTGGGGAGAAAGAATAATGGGATCAAAACAGATGCTCTCTAGAGAAGTCAGAGTGTCCTCGGTACAGCATCTTTACAATAAAAGTTTAAAAAAAGAAGTCAGAGTAAATGGATCTAGATAGGAAACCAACAGAATCTCATCAAATGAACTCCTTCATGAAGTTAAAGAAATAGTACAAGTAATGCTTCTACATATAAAGTTAGAAGTGTTAGGGATAAATTGAGTACCAACATAATTATTGCCCAGGCAATACAGGACTTGAGTCCAGGCTACAAATTTAAGTGTTTCCATTTTCATACCAGACCTAAGCATGTGATTAGGTTTTGGCTAAACACCTTTCTTCCTTCAAAGCAGTCATCAGCAGAATTTCTCCTCTTTGAGGTTGGTCCAAGAAGATAGAACTCCTATCCCCCAAAGCAAACCATAAAACCTATAAAAGCCACTCTCTTCCTGTTTACTTAGAAGACACTCATTCCAGAGAATCCTATCCCACATATACTTGAGAAGGAATGCTACAGAAAAGCCAAGAATCTAAACAGATCTTCATATGTTCCACCACCTCAGTTGACTACCATTTGTTCTATCATACCCTGTCCATTCCTTATTGAACTTAAGCATAAAAGTAAAGTTTTTCCTGAATCTTTAGGTTTTAGTTTCTGAAACCCACAATGTCATATTAAACTTTCACTAAGTAAATTTGTTGCTCTCTCCTCTTGTATCCTATCTTTCCTTATGGGAGAATCAATAGTGACCTCCTTGAGGAAAAATATCAATTACAATTTTACCCCACTACACTTCTGAAGTATTTGTAGAGAAAAATAAGAAAGAAAACAAAAACAAAACCCTCAAAACTGTATAAACTTAACTGTCCAAAATGGACGCGATCAATAATACCCTGCCCCCTTTTTTCTGTTAAAACATACAATTTTTCACTTTTTAAAAAAAAAAAAATACTAGGGCATGAATTCAGGGCCTCCAACACACTAAGGATTCAGTCACGCCCCCAAGTGCATTCGCTTTCAGTTTTCCAGATAAGGTTTCACTAACTGCTTAGGCTAGCTTTGGCCTTTGATCCTATCACCAACTCCAGAGTATACAGGATCACATTTTTTTCATTTTTGAAAAGTCCTCTAAAAGCAAAGTTGAGATTAACAGCCAAAATCCACCTTAAATTCAGTCAGTAACAAGCCTCATTCTAGTGAAATTGACTGTAGAGTGGACTTTCTTAACAATGTATTTAACTTTAAACTATTGTAGATAACTCTAGAAAAAGTCATGTATAATAGATAAAACATCTGCTCAATACCAATTACTCGATTTCGTTATCTCCTGATAAATTTATTAGAAGCACAAAAAGATTACTTTAAAAAGGAATACTTTAACATCTTTACATAAAAGGCTGGGAAATTGTCAAATATAACTGTAAAAACTCACAGAACATAAAAAAGCAGTTCTTATTTTCTTAAAACTTTTGAAGCCACAAATATTTACAATTTAAAAGATTGCAGCAAGCCGTTAATAGTAAAAATCAGTCGAAAATAACTTGAATTTAAAAACGGTTCAAGTACAACTATACTATAATGAAAAATTTTATAGAAAAATCAGATCATACAATAACAATTCCTAAAGGTGGAGCCAAGATTAAGGAAGTGGGAATTGAGATGATTGGAACAGGGAAGAAGAAGTTAATGACAGGCTCAAAAGGACTATCACTTTGAGTAGAATTTCTGGATGCAAACTTTCCTTTGATGTTGCAACACTTTTGTATTTCACTTTGTGAGACTTGGGGAATTGCTGTTCGCCAAGTCTCTTTAGCCAAGTGTAACATTTTAACAATTCTGTCAAAGTTGCAATTCAAGGTGGGCACGGGGAAAAAAGTAGAGAGGAAGCCAGGGATGAAAAGGAATACTGGACAGACTGAGAAAGATTAACAGTCGGAAGCGATGTATCAGAAGGGATGAGCAAATCGGGGTAAAGCAGAGGTGAAGCCAGTCAGTGGCGGGGGGGGGGGGGGGGGGGCAGGAGGTAGGGGAGGATCAGGAAAGGAAAACAGCGAGGAGGAGGTAGAAAGGGGAAAGCAACACCCTCCCCGGAGGGAAGTCCATCAACACCAAACACAGGGCAGCTGGAGAGGGAGCCTGCCCGAGGAGCTAAGAGGGTAGTTAGAAGCAGCCCGCCCACCCGCCCTACTTTTCCCTCCCGTAGGAAGCGGCAGCAACCAGTCACCTGGAGTGGGAGTTCCGGAGGGACTCGATCAAGCGCTGCTTCTGCTGTTGGAGGCTGGTGAGGCCACCAGCGGGGGACCCTGCTGCGGAGGAGGAGGCGCTCTTGGTCAGGGGAAAGAGCCAGCTCATCCTCCTCGGGTCCCCGGGCCCGAGGCCCTACCAGCTTTGGGCCTGCTTCTCCCAGCGGCGGCCCGGCGGGTCTCCAGCCACAGAGGAGCGGCCTGAACTACCCAAGGTCCGAGCCCGGGGGCGGCGGGGCGAGCCAGCGGCGTCTTTTACCAAGCAAGCCGGGTTCCGGGTCCCCGGGCTTGGGGGGCCATGGTAGAACTGGAGAGAGTTGGAGAGGGGCAACTTGTCGGGCGGGACACAAGCAACCCGGATCCTCCCCTTCGCGGCCCAGGCGCCCCAGACCGGCTAGCCAGTCTGACTGTAAGCCGGCTGCGCTCCACCACCCCAGCGTCCGTCACCTGCGCGCCTGGCCTCGTCCTACGCCTGGCTCCGCCCCCTCTGCGCGCTGCGTCATCATCCGGCGCCTGGGCCCGGACGTGCACAGGAGCGGCGGCGTAGAACGGGGCGGCGTAGCTCCGGCTCCCCCCTTTTCCCCTGGAAGGGAGAGAGGAGTCTATGGGGCACCCGCCGCCGCCGCCGCCAGGTGCTTTCTCTATGGCGAGAAGGAAGAGGAGGAGCGCGAGCTCAGAGACACAAGTAGATCTTGGCGTGTGCCGCTGACCTGCCCGGGGGGGGGGGGTGGCGGGGAGGGCGGGCGGCGAGGGCTGGGAGGGGAACGTGGGTGGGGGCGGGAAGGAGGGGCCGGAGGGTGTGCGCGGCGGCGGTTGCGGGGGTGCCCCCGGCGGAGGAAAGGGCCCGGACGCGGGCGAGGGGGGCGGGTAACGGGCCGAGGGCTTGTCAAGCCCGCGGCGCGGGATGATGACGCCACGGCTTTGTACCTGGGCCTTCGCGGTGGGACGGAAATTGAGAGTGGAGGGCCGGTGGCCTGCGACCCGCGGCTCGGTGTCTCCGGTGTCTCTAGCCGGCAGTGCCTGGCGGTCAATCTGGCGCCGGCAAACGCCCGTCAGTCCCTTCGCCCCGGCCCTCGGCCAGCGGATAGACTTATCTATGCTATGAGTACTTCTTGTTTCCTTGGAAGCCCGCGAAGATGCCACCGAAGTAAGGAAAAGGCCTCTGGTGCCTCTTTAGGCGGCTCTGGAATGCACTAGAAAGCGAGGCGGAGGAGGAAAGAGGTGTTGAGCGGCAGTGTCTTTTCGAAGTGTGGAGGGTTGTAAAAGAGTGCCTAGCACCGCCTTTCATTCCTGATCTTAAGAGTAATCGGGCGTCCCCACTTTAATGACAATTTTATGAAGTTGAAGGATTTTTAATTCATTTCAAATGAAAGCTTTGAAATTTCCCTGAGAATCAGTTTCTTGATTTCTGTTATCACTATATACCATGAGCCTCGTATCAATGGACCAGAAACGCGATGTATGTCTTTGATCAACAGTGGAAGTACCCTAATTTTTAGGAAGTTGGAAACTTTTTTTTTTTGCGAGGGTGGAGGGGTCGCTTGTGGGGCTTGAACTATGGGCCTGGGATGTTGTCCCTGTGCTCTTTTGCTCAAGGCTAGCGCGCTACCACTTTGAGCCACAGGGCCACTTCCCGTTTTCTGGTGGTTAATTGAAGAGTCTCCTGTACTTTGATCGCAGCCTCCTGAGTAGCTAGGATTACAGGCTTGAGCCACCAGTACCTGGCCGGAAACAAAACTTTTTAATGCAAACATCTTAGTGCCTTTCTTCCTACTGCATTTGTGGACATTCAAAAGATTTCTGTGGCAGGCTGTTACTTTTCTCTGCGTCTCTTGTTATAAGAGGCACAAGGGTTTGGAATTGGCCTCATGGCTTGCTAGATAGTCACTTGAGACATGTCCTCAGACCTTTTTGCATTAGTTATTTTTCAGGTAGGTTCTCATGTTTTTGCCTTGGATGGGCCTCAGACCTCCATCTTCCTACCTACTTCATCCTGTATCTAGGACCAACCTCTCTGGCTCATTCATTGAGATGGAGTCTAACTTTTTGCCTGGCTGGCCTCGAACCTCTTTACTTCTGATCTCTGCCTTCCAAGTAATTGGAATTACAGGTGTGACTCACTGTGTACATTTTATTGGAGTATTAATTTATTTTAATTTTTTTAAGTTTTCTTCCCTTCAGTCTAGTTTGAATAAATGCTAGTATAGATTTTGTACGTTTTTGAGTGTTTTGTTAATGAAGAATAAACACAAGCACTATATTTGTCATAGTAACAGCTGATATTGTTAATTTCATTTTTATCTGAAAAAGAGTGGGTTTTCATGAAGTTTTTGTGCAGAAAGTAACTTGAACTCGGAGCAGTCCTTATTTAGACTATTTAAAAAATGACTTGTGTTTATGCATAAAGTACACTTTTAAGTAACACTGAAGTTACATTAAAGGAACTTGTTCTAATTTTTCCCCTACAGATTAGTTATTTGATTTTGGAAAAGGAACTTCCTAAAAGTTGATATTTTTATTATGCATTTTGAATAAGTTACTCTTGAGTTTTTACCAGTACAATTCTATGTGTGATTTATGATATAGATGGTTTTTATTTTGACAGGTCCATTAATAAAGGATAAAATATTTATGAAGTAAGTCTTCAATCAAGTATAATATTTTGATGCTTGGCATATAGACTCCTTTATCTCTCACTATGCCAGCAGCAACTGTAGATCATAGCCAAAGAATTTGTGAAGTTTGGGCTTGTAACCTGGATGAAGAGATGAAGAAAATCCGTCAAGTTATCCGAAAATATAATTATGTTGCTATGGTATGCACTTGACCAAATCTTTAAAAAGCTACTTATAAGGGTGGAGTGGAATTTTAGAAGTCTTGAATTCAACCCTTTCAGTTAACTTTTTGGGGTATTAACCATGAAAAAAAAATTTGTATTCACTTAGCCAGGACTCTCCTAAACATATCTGTAATTTGGCGAGTTGGATTTATTATGCATTTCAGTAAAGGAAAATACGTTGGGAACTATGAAGCATTTGAAGAGCATTAAAAGAGTATTATAGTATTTGAAAATTATTAGAAAATACTTTAGGATTTGGGCTTTTGTCAAGTAGTTTTATTGAGAGTTCTATAAGACAGGACTTTGCTGTGGATAAGATGCTGTCAGAAAGCTGAGGACATTGTATGATTAAATACCTTCAGTATCAGCTGAGTGAGAAATTTGGTCATTTTTATGGTTTAAAAAACTTTTTATCTGTTCAGAGATGATTACAGAATGCAGTTTGATGTTGAAGTTCTTTGAAATTGCTTGATTTCAACAATACTTTAGGACCTACCTATAAGAATGAATTCAGTTCTTTTTAGAAGCTCAAGATAGCTAATTGTGCCAGCCAGGGGAGTTTCTGGATGTCTTTTCAAACAAATAATTTTTCTGTGACACATGTTGGTCTGCAATTTTTTTATTATCGCAGAAAATTTAGACATGTTAATTCATAGCTATAATCCCAGCTACTCAGGAAGCAAAGATTGGGAGCATTAAGGTTCAAAGCTAATCCAGTCAAAACTAGCAAGACCCCATCTTGACAGATAAGCAGCATGGCTTGCCATCCCAGCTGTGAGGAAGGCTGAGATGGGAGGATTGTAGTCCAAGGCAATGTATTGGTTAAAAGCATGAGACCTACCTACAATCTAAAGCAAAAATGGGCTCTAGCAAGACTCCAGTATTGTAGTAAGTATGAGGTCCTGAATAACCTCAATACCACAGAAGAAAAGAAAGAAGTTTACAAGAGCTCCATGAACACACTATATTGCTAAGCAAATCTGCTTTTGTACATGCTATTTGAAATGGCGTGGACTATTTATGCAATTAACAATTTTTCTGCTTTACTATTGTATTTTGTGTGTCTCTTGCAGCTACTCTTACTGTTTTCTAGATCCACTGGATTATTAACTCCATAAATCAAGGGGTTAGTGTCTTACACATCCTTTTCCATCTCAACCCTAGTATAATAAGATACAGTGTCTAGTAATTGGTTGTTATCTCAACCCTAGTATAATAATATACAGTATCCAGTACTTGGTTGTTATGTGGAGCTGGAATGCATTTAAGAAAGTTTTAATTTTTCTGTTTCTTATTTGAAACTTAGTTTTTTTTTCTTAACTGTTGTTTGAATTATAGTATTAAACTGATAGATTTTAGTGCAAATGAAAATAAATATGCTTCTTTGGGAAGGACAGGATGATTGGTTAAAATATAACTATTTGGCTGGGCACCAGTGGCTCACACTTATAATCCTAGCTACCCAAGATGCTGAGACCTGGAAGATAAGTTTGAAGCCAGCCCAAGCAGTAATGTCAAGAAGACTTCATCTCCCAGTTAACTAGCAAAAAGCTAGCTGGAAGTATGGCTCAAGTGGTAGAGCACCATTGGTGAGCAAACAGGTTGAGAAAAACTGAAAACACTGAGTTCAAGCCTCAAAACTGATTTAAAAATAAATAAATAGTATATGTAGGCAACATTCCATTTAATAAAGGAACTTGTCCATAATTAGAGCTGGAATTAGTTTCTTTCTTTTAGGGGAGGATATTTTTCTTATAGAAATTCATACTAACCATTTATTTCTCATAGTAATGGCATCCTACAGGAAGGAGATTTTAAGAAAAGATCGTTAAGCTTATATAGTATTATGGCTCTACAATGTTCTTCCTAGTTGAAAAGTACTCTTAACTGAATGAACGTGTAGGATATTCCTTTGACTTGAAACAAACTAAGAATTTATAGATTGTGGTTGTGATTACTTGATTAATAATGAATCTTAATACTCTTTTGCAGGACACTGAGTTTCCAGGTGTTGTTGCGAGACCCATTGGAGAATTCAGGAGCAATGCTGACTATCAGTACCAACTATTGCGGTGTAATGTAGACTTGTTAAAGATAATTCAGCTAGGACTGACATTTATGAATGAGCAAGGAGAATACCCTCCAGGAACTTCAACTTGGCAATTTAATTTTAAATTTAATTTGACGTAAGTGGGAAATACGTAACCCAAACCTTTTTTTTTTTTTAAATTTTAGAAACTGGTCTTCATAAAATACAGTTGCCTCTGGGTATTTATGGGTATATGGTATCAACAAAGTTCTCAAATGTTCAGGCTGCATAGAGTTCTGTATTATATGTGCTATGGATACTTGATTGAATTTTCCCCATAAGGCCATCCAGCTTCCACTAAAGATATGCCACCTTTCAGCAAATCTAAAGTTTTTACTTTATCAGTTAAATTAGCCACATTACATGACCTTTTTGGCTTGGGAGGATCATCATAATTTTTATTTTGCTCTTTTGGGTTCCATTTGCTTTTGGAGAGGCATAATTTTACAAAATTAAGGACAGAGAGATAATAAAAAAATCACACTTTAAACATGACTGATGATAATACAACACTGACAAGAATCTCTTGAGTCAGCTGAATT